CCCGCCCGTGCTGGAGCCGCAGAAGGAGGCGCTCAACCTGGACGTGCGGGAGCGCGAGCGCGACCGCGAGCGCGAGCGCGACAGGGAGGTGCGCGTGGACGTGAAGCGAGAGGCCGAAGAGCCGCTGCTCGCCACCCCCGCCAAGCGCCCCCTGCATGACGAGGACGGCGGCAAGCCGGCCAACACGCACATCAAGATCGCCAGCCGCGGTGGGTGCCTCTTCTCTCATCTTCACTTACCGCACCTACAAGTCCATTAACAAAACCTTATCGTACTTAAAATGAGTACTACTGCCAGTACATAGAAAAGTTTCCTAGGCGCCAAGTGCTGAGGAAACGTATCTGAAAATTGGCTTGGCACGAGTGGTATTTGGTAGAACTACTTCACCAATTTAATTATTTCGAACACATTCAGAATGCGTTGAATATAATGTGTTTCATTCAATTTCTTTTAATATTTCGTTAAATCAACTACGCCTGACTCTGTCTCTCTTTCTCTTCTCACTGTTTAAGTGAACACAGTCTTCTTTGACTGATGTATCTGGCTAGTAGGCAGAATATAATCGGATAGAAACGGCGATAATATTTTTGGTCGCCTTAACTGGTGCGTACCACAGGTTTCAATGAACACTATTCGCGTTAATTCCGTGAATGAAAAAGGGACTGTAAACAAAAGAAGCTTTCTAGATAATCAATAGAGAGTTTGTAGGTTGCAATTTCGTGTTACTCCTCGTGTGTGAATTGATGGATTTTCTGCAGCACTAAATATTTATTTTATCATAGACTCATCAAATTTAAGAAATAAAATATGCAATTCTAGATTTGCCCCCGCCTTTACATACACTGCAATACAATGTGTGTAGTGCTATATTGACCAGGAAAAAATGTTATTGAATTCATTGCTGGAGCTGTGTTTTTTGTTTCTTTTTCCTTTTTTGGCACCAACATTATATTTTTACCATTCTGCAGATCTTAGTATCTCATAAAACAAGTTTCCTGGTGTCTTGGAAATGCTTCTTTGCTTGCATTTTAACTCTGAAATCTATTTTTAATTGTTGTTTATTATATTCCTCCACCTTGAAGTTTTGCAATATTAGAACAACTTCTCTCCTTTTTATTGCTTCTTAAAACTTTCTCTGATCTTTAAAGGAGACTATTTTTATCACTTTGATCTATTTCTCTGTGTAGAAACTCGCTTTATGTGCGGGTACTTGCGGAAGGAACTCTCCAAGCACGGGTCTGTTTGCTCCTTCCTTTTTACCCGACTGCAGCACGGAGCGAAAGCTTTGGACCTCGAAAGGGGGTGGTTGCTTGCTCTTTTCCATTTGCAAGTCCCTTTGCTCCGAGCGCCTCTGGAACCCTTCTCATGTCAAGCGCTTGCCATCTCGAGGTTGCCCTCTTATCCACTGGTCTTAGGCTATTTCGAATATCCGTACTCAGTAAATGCAATCTAAAAATTACATCACTTTTTATTTCCTGTACTTGCTGATTTGATTGTCATATATTTCTGAGAAACAATATTAATCATTAATTGGATTTCGTAATCGAGCTAAGTTTGTAAAAAATGAATATTTGTTTCAAATTATTTTTGGAGTATCGTAACAATTTGCATTACATTGTTTTGTGCTGTAATATGAAAGAAATAATGAAAACGCTTCCTCTTGTTATATTTTTTCTTCGCTTAGACGCTCATGGTGGAGCAAATAACTGGAAATATTGAATTTTGTTCAGACACGGTAATAAAAGGAGATGAAGGCAAAGAAAAACGGCTTGAAGTATTATGATTTTTCAAGGCTCCAGTTGCAAGTAAATTAATTTAGATATAGTTTTTTTTTGATTGAGTGCGTAATTCTAGTAATTTTTGAACTTCAGAAACCAATCTGCAACCGGGACGCCTTAAAAAATAAGTAGGCATTATCTTAATGAAGTACTGAGCTGCCCATGGCCCCGAGATCGTCTTCTGGGCGGCACTTCTCTTGCTTTGGAATCTCGCAGCTAATTTCTCCGTAGCTCATAATTCCTCCCTGCCGCTGCTCAAACTCTTGCGGGAGCAGTCATCCCATTAATCAACCTGGGGAAGATTTTTCACATTAGTGAGCTTCTCGCAGCTGCTCTCAGATTTACTTAACTTTTTCCGCCGCGCCACGAGGATGTCTTTCAACTTTTGAAGCCGCGCGGCGGCACGGCGTTCGTGTCCGCCTTCAGCAGTTGGGAACGGAACTTTCGGCAGCCGGAGTGTTCAGTGTTCTCGTTTTTTAGCTTCCTCGCACGCCGGACACCTCTTACTCCGTGCACGGCGGAAGGAGAGCCCTCGGCGACTTGCTTAGCCGTCGCCGAAGTTTCGGGTTCCCGCGTCCTCCACGGGTCGCAGCAGCGGTCGGGCGCTCGTGGCGCCGGCGTCGCGCACCTGCGCGAGCCCCTGCGCACGAACCGCTCCGCCTCGCCCCAGGCGCCGGGGCCAGGCGTGAATCAGCATAGTCCGCCGAACACCAGCGGCGCCCGCGCGCCGTCTTCTCTGCGTTGGTGCTTGTTGACAGCGGCGGCCGGCACCTTGTATGTATTTGTTCGTTTAGTGACGTTTCTGTCGTTATCGCTAGACACTGGGAAGAGCCTTTTGGACCAACAATTTTTAATAACCATCTTTTTTCATGTAGAAGATGTCCATAAAATTTCTATGTTAATTTCGCCGCAAACATTGTTCAACACTATTTAAATATCGCTCGGGTGTAAGTCTGGATACTATTCTATTCAGATATCTACTTTCCTGTTCCACGTTATGGCTAATGTTACGGTTCGGACCTTCAAAAATTAAGAATGTTCGAAATACGATTTAAGCAAAACAACGATAAAATAAAATTACTAATTTGACTAATTTAGTTTATGATTATTTTTAAATAAGATAGACAAACAACATTAGTGAATAGAATAGTGCGATGAATAAGATGTGTGTCATTACACGAATCTAGCCGTTTCACCGTTACAAGTCTCACCCAAATCTTATCAATCAAATGTTGACACAAAGATATGTCACAAGGAATTAAAAGCATTTGCGTTTTTCCTGAAGTTTTAAAAATGCTCACAATGCTGGTAATTTTTAAATATATTTTTTGTGTTAATTCCATAATAAGTAAGGGCTGATGGTGTGAAAACTGTCACGTGTAATTTTACTCCTTTGAGAAATTCCATTACATTTTGATAATTACAACGAAATTTTGAAAAATTTAGCAGTAAGTAGTTGGCTGCTATATACGTACAAAAAGTACATTTCGTAGTACTATTTTTTTAGTCTGAAACATATGCGATGAGACAAAGTGCGAAATCTACATCTGGACAATTTTTTCGGTAGAGTAAAATTCTGTGATGGACTCAATTTAAATTATAGACGTAGCCATGTTAATGGTTACTATTCAATTTTCTTTCCTCATATTACACATTCACTATCCGAGAGCTGCAGTCTCTCTCTTTATTACTCTCGAACTAGAAAGTGTTCAGTGCGTATTGGCAATTAAAATAAAATTGGCTCATTCGCGCTTCGCAACCCCCCCCCCCACAGGAGCAACTGAGCGGCAGGACACCGCTCGAGACTGTTTCATGACAGAACAGAACTTTCATGTTATTCGCTTTCAATGGCAGTTCAGACAACTGGCGTTTTGGTTTCTGGCTAAATTTGTGCTAGGTGCACGTTGAAGAGGATCGTATACTTGGTTCTCTCTAGTGAAGCGAAGGGATCGGATTGAAAGAAATTTCTTTGGCAAGAAGCGGAGAAGAGTATGTTTATTGATAATTGGAGTTCTTAAAATGCTTGGGTGCCAGATTATATAAGTGCTAATTTTCGTTTAAGAAAATAGAACATATTCTTCTCCTTTTGGGCGAAGCAGATGTATTCTTTCAGAGAGTAAAAAGCAAATTGATATTTGTTTATTTTGGTGAATTCTATCTATAGAACATGGCAAACTGTTTTCAATGGTCAGAATTCAATGTAGGTAGTGTCATGATTTACGCAGGTGTATTATATTTGGTTTCTTAGGAAATTTTATATTATGATAAGGAAGAGGATCCTACAAATCGTAATACATCAAATATGCGAGATGTGTGAATCTACTCATTTTAAGTGTATTCTTATATTGGTAATGATACAAATTGTCTTAATAAACGAAAGAAAACTGGGTCTGATTTCTGTTGGGTACCGACGTGTATGTAGATGTTATGTTGGGTATGTTTAGATTTCTAATTGCATTGGTTTCTCATTTTTAACTTTACAACGTTATTTACTTCATTATAAAATTCTTCGTATTTCTAATTCGACGGATTTTCTGCTATCTTTTACCATTACTTCAAATCACAATTTGTTATAAATCTTAAAGTTCATAGAATTAATTGTGTTTTATAACTGCGTTATGTCTATATTTCTAGCTATAGCGTATATCTGAAGGGAGATAAGCAAATCGGGAGAGCAAGTGAATAGAAGAATTTTGCTTATTGCAGGCGACGGGGCCGCGCGTCGACAACTTCGCTGGTGTGAGCATGACTGAACGGCGTCATGTACAGGGTGCTGTTCGCGCAGAAGCGGGCGCAGCGCGAGGGACGATATGCGGCGCTCTCGTTGAGACATCCGCGCGCCGCCGCCCCCGCCGCCGATCGCCCCGCCCCCGCCGCCAGCGCGCGCGGGTCGCCCCGCCCGCGGCCCACGCGGACGACGCCGCCACGCCTCTGTCATCTCACATCTGGGACCACCGCCGCCGCGCGCCGCCCGCTAGGTACCACCGCCCGCTGTTGCTGCCACTGGGCATAACTTATTGGTGTACTATAGACCGCTCGCTCACGCCCAAGTGATCATTTACAGTTGCTCAGTATTCCGACGCCCGCGCACTGCACATCTCTCCCGCCCGGATAGTTCTATACCAATGTTAATATGATTGTTTTGTGTAAAAATTGCAAGTTTTCGTAATTGTATAGAAAAGGAGACAAGGATATGAAGATGAAAAAGAGAGTAACGATCTGAGGACAATTACGTTGTATAAAGATGTGATTTTATTGTTGAACTTGTGGGTAGTCCTAGGATTTAGTACAAGTTATGTTATTACTCCTATGCATACATAGCGATTGGCGACTGGCAGCTGCTCTCTCTTCCTCTCCTCGTGTTCTTTCCCGCCCTATTCCCGGCTAGAGCCCTCTGCAGTAGCCAAGGCTTCTCCTAGGTCGTAGTGCC